TCTCTCTCTCTCTCTCTCTCTCTCTGACATTGCACGTTCACTGCTTTTGCTTCCCACTGCCATCCAGCAGCTTTGCGTGTGTCAAGCGTTTTTCGGGTTGAAGTTTTCTCGTCTGTGGCTTGTGGTGTTTTTTCAGCCCATAGCCACCCACGTCCTCAGTTTACTGACTGCACCCAAACTCTGCTAACCCCCCACCCCCCCTTTCCCTCTGTTTACCCTCCCTCACTCCCACCTTCTTTTTAATCAGATTTGAGAAGGGCCCACCTCCCACCATCCTCCATCACCAATCTCTGTTCTCTTAGCTGTATGAAGTCCCCCCCCCCCCCCCGGGCAGCCTGGTGCTATTGTCCGACTCCCAGCGTTGACGGTTTTAGGCCAAAAGCTCTGCTCGTTGAAGGCCTGCTGCTGCTTGGCCACAAACAAGCAAGACTATGGCTGAACCTCCCCACACACATGCAGAGCACATATGGTTTCTCTGCTGTAAACAACCCCAGAACGCCCCCCCACCCACCCTCTACAAATCTAGTTTCTCCGCAGGATTGATAAATAAGGCTGCACAGAAGACTCACATTGAGGACTTTTCTTGGTCCGTGCAGACATTTCAAAAATAGCATAGCGTAGCGTAGCTACACCAATTAAATACAAAAAAATTAAAAACAGGTTAATGTCTTTTCCTTTTTTCTTTAACTTGCTCTGAAGAGACTCGTGTGTTGTGTCCGGCAGGTTTGTGAAGTTGCCTTTTTCAGCTGCACAGTAACGTTAAGTAGATTCAGTAGAATCTGTCACATCGTCTAAACTCCTTACACCACCCACATGCAGCTGTTCGTCCCTCTATCTCTCCATCCCTCGTGTTCCTTCCATCCCCCCCCCCCCCCCCCCCATGTCTGTTCTCCTTCCTAGTCACAGGACCTAAGGTACTGAACTATTCTGAAAAACCCAAAGACTCAACAGTATTTCCACCCACACCTTCTCCCCTCCACCATGGCCACATCATTTTGTTTCCTCATTCTCTCTTTTCACCCCTTTATTGTTTTCTTTCCTCTTTTTCTCTGTATTAGAGATCTGACCTTTGAGTCCAATCGCTTATTAGTATATGAAAAGATATATAAATATATATAAATGTATATTCACAAATGTTTTAAACCTTCAAAGTGCCTACCATTTGGAAATGTACTTGCTCGAGGTGAGCATGTGGCGGGTGTGTACACAAAGGAGGGGTGTAAACGACTTGACTGGCATTCTGTGAGCATGGATGACTGTAATGGTAACTTTTTTTTTAGTCTTACAAAAGCTGACAGTATTGTACCTATAAATTGAAACAACACTACTGAATAAACATTGTGGCCTAATACCAGCTGCTTGTACCATCTTGTTTCATTCTTCTTGTCGACGTCAGGTTTCCAGGTGAAAATGCATCACTAACAGATTTCACAGCAGATAAACTCATTTATTAAGCAAACATGCCAAACTCTGCAGTTTTCTTTGAAATTGTCTCTAATAAACTTTAGATGCTGATTTGCACACAGCCAGGGTCGCAGATGACAGTTTTTATGCTTAGATAGCTGAATGGATCATATCCACATGGAGGCCATTTCCCTTGACCTCACGCTAAAGGTGCAAATTACGTATAAAGATGGAAGACCTGATAGCTCCCCCAAAGTGAAGCCAAAATATCTCAGTCGCTCTCTGGCTGCAGTATAATGTCGTAAACCTCGCCCTCTCAATGTTCAAAAATCTAAATACACGTCAAATAATCCAAAATGTTAAACAATTCCTTTAAATACAGAATACCACTACTAGTACCATCAATGAATGTGTCGGTCATGCTGCTCTTTTGAGGCACTTACTTTAAATCTTTTCTATTTTTTTTGAATACCTTTTGAGCAAAGACTCCTCGTGGGATGTGTTACTGAGTGATTTTGTCTTAAAAGTTAAAAGCAGATGCTTTGCATTTAACGGCTCATTAAACAGGCCCACTTTAAAAGTAATGTCTCCAACAACGTGCTCATTTGGCTAATTATTCAAAGGTAAGCTTTTCTTACCATCGTTACCCTAAAGGCCAAAATACCCTACAGCAAACCTGTCCTCGAAAAAAGGGGTATCTGTGTCTATAAATAGAACACAGACCATTTAAAATGTAGGACAGGCTCTAATACTCAACAGCTCTCTTAACATTACTTAAAGTCTAAGGGGATTATCGACGTGCGTAATCTTTGTGTTTTTTTTGTGTTTCACCATATCATAATTTTAGTGCCCTAATCTCATCGTGTTCCAGAGGAAGATTAGAGGAACGGTGAGGCTGACACGAAACTCTCAGGGGGGGAACTTTATTTTCACTGACTTGTTTATTTATCACCGGAAACACACGATGAAAGAGGAGATGGGATTCCTCCTCAGTCGAGTTGGAGAGCAGTTCATTGAGAATAACATTTCTCTTTTTCACTTTTTGTTCATCAATCAAAGAAACTCAGTGACTATGTTTACGGCAAAATTCTGATGTTAACTCGATTGAGACAATAGTCATAATAAGCTCTCAATTGAATTGTGACATTCCATTGGATCTTTCGCAGCCTTTTATGACATCGGCATATTAAATTTTCTACTACTACTACTACTACAACTCATGTAAACATCTTAATCACAAACATGTCTTATTTAGATTAATGTCAGTATTTGGAATATTGCTGTAAAGAAAGTCAAAGATCTATTTCTTTACGTAGGTGCAGGACATCAGCTCTTTTTTTTTTTGTGATCTACACTGTGTCGTGACTTTACAAGCTGCCTCATCACAATGGGGTTGTTCATATTCATACCCACACCTCTGCGCAAGTGCTGAAACCACCTTGTGATGTTTTCTTTGAAGACTGAAAGGGAAAGAGGAACTGAACATGCATGCACCAGTGCATATTTCAAATGTGTGTATGTGTGTGTGTGTGTGTGTTTACATGAGTGTGTATGTATCTAACCCGAGGGGTTAGATCATTGGGGGCACGATAAAGCTACCTCTGGTTTTTGATATGTTGTTTTAAGTGAATACTCCTCTTTCAACTCTTTTCTGAGGAATCGGGTCAGTATGTTCTCGTATGGTATGTGATATTTGCCCTGGGGCAGTTTGTATAAGGCATCCCACCAGGATAGGATCCATTTAGAGGGGTGGTGAAGCAGAGAGCCAATGAGAGAGGCCGTTTATATTGAGGCTGTTGTAGTAACAAACATTTCCCAATCTGTCCTTTCCTCTGTGTGCAGTTCCGTAGCATGTGTTTGCCCTTTTAATCTCAACTTTGTGTCAAAGTGCAACCAGGATTTACGCACTGCTTGTGATGTGTTTAGGTTAATGTAAAGGGTCAGTGTGTGTTTATGCCCCAAGAATGTAAACGTAAACCACTCTTGGATTTTAGATTACTATATAACTTTCTGTTCTTTCACTCTATTCTGTATTTTCCTTTGTCCCCCCCCCCCTCCCTTTGTAGCTGCAGAGCTGATTCAATAAAGCTGTCGGCCATCAACTGGCAGTCAGCGCCAAACCATGCAGAAACGCTGCGGAAATGGCGTCCAAGGTAAACAGGCTGTCAGGGCCCATAAGAGCTCATGGCTTGAGACTAAGCCCGGGCCTGACTGGGGTGGACACGTAGGACCTCACTGACCAAAACACAGAGTACAGCAGCGAGGCGAGCAGACAACACTCCACTGGATCAGGCCAAAGCATGAGTCCAAGCATGAGGTCCGCAAATAAACCTGTGATGATTACAGTATGATAATGTGCAACACTTAGTCCAAGCTTCAAGTCCTCAGCATATTTGTGCCTGGTGTTGCTCACGAGCTTCGATCTCACTGCTGCACAGTGAATTACAGCTTCGGACAAAGAAAGAGTTCTTTACAAATAACGTAACATTACAGTCGACTGGTGACAGAGAAGTGGTGACTCATTGTTTTAAAAGAGGAAACTACACACAACAAATATAAACTGAAGAGCAGAACCCAAAACACATGCTCTCTACGGACACCTGACGTCAAAATGCATGTCCTGACAAAGACTAAAGAAATACTGAACGAAGCACAGCACATTAAACATTTAAGACGTATTAAA